GAAGAGACATGGTCGAGTTATGTTAAACGCACTCGGTATACTACTCCTCTAGACAGAGAGGAGAGCGACTGATCCGCTGTCAATTGGTATAGTTCATGACGTCTCGATTGAAGGCGCTAACTTCTGTATGCGCGCGCGGGGCGTCGGCTCAAGCTCATAGGTTCAGGCTCCGAGTGCTGACTTGTGTTTCCTCGTCTGCCACTGATGCAACATGTTGCATTCGAAATATACTCACTGAATGGCGACCATAAGCGAGGAGACAATACATGCAGAGCTACTAATACTTGATGATGGTCTCCGCAATTCAACTCCGTGCGACATTGCATTTCGGCGCCCATTACATTCCGACCCGACTGCGGTACGGCGTAAGACTTCACTTGGTACGCTGATGGCATGATAACATACGCCACGTAATACATACTCCTATCTCCAGTTGATCCACACGTTCTTAGCGCCCAAAACATCGCAATATCAGCAACCGGTTTCGAGACAAAACCGCTCTCACCCTCACATCCTCCATACACTCGGCTCTCTATGCAGGTGCTGACCTCTCTCACCAGTCCCACAAACAACGCAACTATAACTCAGATATGCCGCACCGTTTCCGGACATTGGAAAGGAATCGGCGCGTGGGCTAAGTGAAATGTGCGACGACAACACTGAAGGAAGTACTGGTAAGGGGGCGTCTCGGGTGCCAAACTTTGGTCAGGTATTCGGAATATATATTCGTATATTTTCTCGGTAGACCTAACAAGGTCGTGGTAGATCTTTTTACGTGACGGAGTCTCCTCGCCAGTTTTATAATGGAATGGTCTCGTGAATAAATTGGTCGCATGGCCACCTTCGCTCAGAGAGTAAGTGCTCCGGAAGCCAAATTAGCGAGATACTAAGCTTCTCCGCTAGTCACCGCAGCTGACTCGAATTTCGTCTAGAGATCAAAACTTCCTTAGAGTGTCTCTCGGACGGACGGTTGTCGCCGCGTCTGACATGGCTGTTTACGAGTCATTTGCCTGCGCTGTGAGTGTTGATTCGTTACCTTTTTGCACTGATACAGTGGCTCGACTTCCGTCGAGGCTGTGCGTGTATGGTGGGCTGTGCGCTCAGATCTCAGACAATGCTCCAGAGCCCTGAGAAAGATCCCACCACACTAACTCGCTGCTATATCAGACGATAGGCAAATGATGTTCGAGATATCGCCAGAGACCAAGAGCAGTCGGGGGTCTGCAATACCCTCGAGCACTTCGATACGCAAGGGACGCATGACCCGTCACCCGGAACAGCCACACACATGACTTCGGCACCGCGGAGCCTACGACTTCATTTAAGCGATAGTGTGACGCAAAGAGTTTTTAAAATGGAGGATTTGCCTAGTAACAAAGAGATTTACATACGCTTACGGCACGCCGGCGCACATCATTTGTTTTTTTCCGCGGATTTAATTTGTGAGGAAACTTCGAGTTTGGTTGTGTTGGAGAAAAGCAAGTGGTAGGAAAGTTGTGAGCGTGTGATGGGTCGTGATGCCGTGTTTCCCCGAATATTCTGGATATTTTTCCAACGACGATCTATAGAAGCAGTGACGAGGGCAGGAAGGCGCTCGGAAGTCGCACACAAATTTTCGTAGAGATGCTCCAGCGAAAAATCGGAAGTGTTCTTGAAGAAGAGCACGCATTCGCGGACAACGAAGACCGGCCGGACAGAGGAAGCTTCTTCAAAAACTCAAAAAAACACTCATGCTCCGAAAAATTCTGAGAGTGCTTATAACGATGAACAATTGCCTAATAAAAAAAAGCAACTAAAATCACGATTGAAAGAAAACAGATACAAGATCGTACTGAAAGGCAACAAAAAAAAATTAATATGAAAGGCCTGGGAAAGAACAAGTTTATGAATTGAATGAACGGGACCAGTAATTCAACTGTCCAAATAAAAAGGTAAAGAAAACTATGTTGTATTATTTTTATTCGTGATGAACGATTATACTCACAAATCATTTACATTATAATTTATTACAATACTATGTTTCATTTAATCATCATACAGATATTCTTACATAAATTTATAATGTAAATGACTGTGAACAATTCAGTTAACCTAATTGAATGGATAACTGGAAATTATATTCACAAGCATTTATATTATTAATTTGAGTATAGAAAATTGTTTAATTACTTCATTATGTTAACTAAATATATTCCACATCATTTTACAATTATATTTTATATCAATTTTCGGGGAGGCGTACTTTACGCTGGAACCAGCAATGCAGCAACGCAGATGTGTTTCAGATGAAAAATTGGGCGGAGAGCAGCAGCGGACTCCTGCATGGGTGCTAATCTCGCCTCTGTAAAAAAAAAACTACGATTAAAAAAAGAAAAGTATGCTGTGGGCGAAAAAAAAGGGATAAGGAAAAACAGTGAATGTGTTTTGTTTCGGAAACGAATAAAGGAAAATTATACTTACAAATTAACTCTGTGTATTCTTCTTGACAGTTCATCCCGCTCCTACGTTGTCCTCTTCAATCTGTCAGCAGCTCTTCCTTCTTCTGGGGGTTGTAATTCTTTCTCTGGTTCAATGATGTCCGTTGTAAAATCCTCATCATGCAAGTATTTTTGCCTACATTGTGCAAATATATATGGCACCATGGGCCATGGGATATTAGTATGGCCACCATGAGCCTGGGGCAATTCCGTAGCCTAAAATCGCCAAGTAGCAAACATTGTCGCTTTGGCCTGGATAAAAATCTGCTTGGTTGGGATTGGAATTCTGCAAATGCGAGAATCGTCTTCTGATCCAGGCCAAAGAAGCCGCCATGCTTGTAAATTCTTTCTTAGCATTGCATGTTGGCTTGAATATTTATAGAATGAAAGGCCTTTCCTACAATTAATGTATTCATTCAGCATTGATCTAGTGACTTTTTAATCAGATGTGTACAGTCAGAGCACAATTGATTAGGGAAAGTATCTTTCCTGCCAATCTCTTGCATGCTGGAGATCTACAGACAGTTCTTGGGGAACTGTATCCAATACTGTTGTTTTTTCTTTATTTTCTCATGAGAAAACAAAGTCATGCTCCACTGTGGACTGATCCACCAACATCATCTGCCACTCCTACCTGAAAACCAGGAGTAGTGTCACGTAGCGACGGAAAATTTTTCATTTTTGCTTATTTGGTTAGAGCCCGCGCTCTTGTTTTTCTCGAAGCCGAGAAAAATGTGCTCAAGACATACAAACATTGTCTTTTCGAATCGATAAAGTTTCTAATAATTTATTGTCACACACTCAGGCCAAATCTTGAAACTTTTTTTTTTACTCGGGTTCCCTCTGCAAATGTGAGCACACCGGTGTTATGCACGTCTATTTTGGAGCTCACCAGTGAGAGTAAGCTCAGAGACGAGGCAAATTGCCTCAGCTCCCACTTTATTCATAGCAAAATTTGAGAAGCGTTTCCGAAACTTGGAGCAATGAGAAATAGCTCATTTTTATTCATCACCACCAAATTCTATAAAAGACATGACATTATCCCAGATTGTGATTTCTTTTAAAATCCGCCCCCTACTTATAATAAGTTTGAAAGAGCAGTTATGATGGAATTTGTGATGTACGCACAGTGACAAAACATTGGAAAAAAAAAACGCGGCCGAAATTCATCAAAAAATATCTCTTCAAATTGTTGCGAGCTACAGATCTTTAATATGAACGGAAAGTAACTAAATTTTGTTAACATTCTATTGTATGAATTTTGTAAGTTACAAGGTCGGCTCAACCCTTTTTTTTGAATCACATATTACTTCCAAGTGGTTTTATGCAGATAAGACAAGCACACAAGCTGTAAGGAAATAGGAGATATTTAAGAAACGAACAGTAGATTGAAAAATGTAGATAGACGAGTATTTGCTGCAAAAACCACCAACTAAGATTTTGATGAAGCAATGCCCATCTCTGGGGATTGCCGTCATCCTTTGCAATTTTCTCAATTTTCCGTTTGGACTTTCCCAAAGGAGTTCGAGGTATCTGCCTGTGATGGACTTCACTCGTTTTGGTCATTTCTTTAGATTTTTTGAGACATAATAGACGAGAGTTCTTGTCCTCCACAGCAAATAGTTTTCTATTTCACTCCAATTAAGATTGCGTTTGGAAGTTGTCAATGCAGTGCTCGCTGCAAGCTTCAGCTTTCAAACTATTTATTAGCAGAGAGGGTGAAGCAAGGTCATCGTTCAAAAAATTTAATGCAATTAATACCAATTTTGTGTTTCACCAATTACTAAACATTTCTCTTAGAATCCGGAAATTATGAAAACTTATCATATTTCAGCCCTAATTTATGGTACTTTCAATCTTAAAAAATTGGAAGAAACTCTACACCAACAGAATAGATGAAGAAAAATATTTGCATTCATGTGAAAATTAAAATAACACGATCATCAAATAGGATTGAAATGCTAGTTGGGTAAATAACAATCAAGGCATACATGAGTTTAGTCAAATATGAAGTTTTTGTTGTTTTTGTTGTTTTTTTGTTCTTTTCTCTTTTTTTTTTTTTTCTTTTTTCTTTTTTTTTCTTTTAAGGAATAATTAACCATACATCCATTTTCACTAGTCAATGACTTCAAATTAAAGGTGGACCATTATATTTATTACAACCACCAGGGGGGGGGGGGCGCGGGGGGGAAATGTTATCAAAATATCGTGAATATATTGAACACGAAAATTTTTTTCCTCTGCATTGTTGTGGGATATTCTCCAAAGAAAGAACAAACACTAAATGAACTCAAATTACATATAACAAACAAAATATTTAGGAAAGTTAAAAGGATTGAAAGACAATTCTTTACTTACCAGAGCTGGGATTCAGACTATTTCACAGGTAAGTCCCGTTTCTTCAGTCCCATTTCTTCCACGTGTCGTTTCCAAGGCACATCCAAGGAATTTGTGGATTCTCCTTCTCTGGGAAATAATCTGCTTCATCTTTAAACGGCATCCATAGTTCAGGTAGCTGACTGGTTATTTTTGTTTGGTCTGCTCTGGAGCTAAGACAACTCGCAGGCTAAATGTTGTAATCAGGTTGTTGTTGCCTGATGTTGTTTGATGTTCATCTCCTTGCTGCAGCTGTTGTAGCTGTTGCTCATCGAACTTCACTGTTTCAGTTGTAATTGCGTTTGCTCTTGATGTTGTTGCTGTCGCTGGCTCCGCCTGGCAGATATGCACCAAAGCTGAATTACATTCGAGATGAAGAGAATTCCCTTACTTCCTGCAAACAAAAGGAAAGTATTGTTTTTCTATAAAGTAAATGGTCGGTCAGTATCCTGCAGTAGTCTCAGGAGACGGAGCAATTCCCACCCACTTTATTCATAACGAAATTGGGAGGAAGGTTCTCCGAAACTGAGCAATGAGAAATAAGCTATTTTTATTGCATACCACCAATTTCTATACAGAGCATGACATTGTCCATAGTGGATATTTCATTAAAAGCGCCCCCGCTTATTATACAGTTTTGAAAGAGAGCAGTTATGATGGAATTTTGTGACGCAACGCAAGTGACAAAACATGGATAAAAACGCTGGGCAACTTCATCAAAAATATCTCTTCAAATTGTGCGAGCTAGCAGATCTTTAATATAGTACGAAAGTAACTGAATTTTGTAAACAATTCTATTGGTAATGAATTTTGGTAAGTTTTACAGTCGGCTCCACCTCTTTTTTTTGGAATCACGATATTACGTCCAAGTGGTTTTAATGCAGATAAGACAGCAACAGCCAAGCTAAAGGAAATAGGAAAATTTTACATAACGAACAATAGATTTGAAAAAAATAGGTAGATAGATAGGGAGTATTTGCTGCAAAATCCATCACTTTAGAATTGATGAAGCTATGCCATTCTCTGGGGAATTCTGTCATCCTTGCATTTTTCTCAATAATATGCGTTTTGGACTTTTCAAAGGAGTTCGAGGAACTTCTGTGATGGATCTTCCTCGTTTTTGGTCATTCTTACATTTTTTTGAGAACATAACAGACAGAAGTTCTTGTTCCTCGCACAGCAAATAGTTTCTATTTCACTCCAATTAAGATGTGTTTTGGAGAGTTGTCATCAGTGCTTCGCTGCAAAGCTTCAGCTTTCCAACTATTTATTAGCAGAGAGGGGTTGAAGCAAGGTCATTGTGTTCAAAAAAAGCTTAAGCATTAATACCGGACTTATTGTGTTTCCAATACTAAACATTTTTCTTAGAATCAGGAAATTATGAAACTTATCATATTTCCAGCCCTAATTTATGGGTATTTCAACTTTACAAAGTTGGAGAATTCGTGTACCAACCACGAATAAGAATGAAGAAAAAAATATTGCATCATGAGAATATTAAAAATTAACACGATCATCAAATAGATTGAAATTGCTAGGGTGGTAAATAACAAACAAGGAATCACGAGTTTAGTCACAAATTTCTAGTCAATGAACTCAAAATTAAAGGCACCATTTATTACGCAACCACGGAGGAAAAAAAGAATGTTATCAAAATTATCGTTAATATAGTGAACACAGATTTTTTCCTCCTGCATTGATGTGATTATCTTCCCAAAGGAAAGAACAAACACAATGAACTCAACATTACATAATAACAACACAAATTTATAGAAAGTAACAAGATTGAAAGACAATTCTTTACTTACCAGAGCTGGATTCAGACTTTTGTCACACGGGTAAGTCCTTGTTTCTTCAGTCCACTTCTTCAGATCGTTTTCAAGGCACATGGCCATGCATTTTCTGGATTCTTCTCTCTGAATCATCTGCTTCATCTTTAAACGGCATCCATAGTTCAGGTTAGTGGACTGGTTATTTTGTTTAGTACAGCTCTGGAAGCTAAAGACAACTCACAGACTGAATGTGTAACAGGTTTGTTGTTTGTCTGTTTGTTGTTGTTGTTCATCTGTTTGCCGCAGCTGTTGTAGCGTTGCCTTCACTTAATTCTGTTGTTTGTAATTGACTGCTCTTGATGTTGTTGCTCTTCGCTGCTTGCTTCCTGCTGCAGTATCACCAACCTGAATTTACCATTCGAGATGACAGAGACTCCCTACTTCCTGGCAAACAAGAAGGGAAGTTATTGTTTTCTATAAAGTAAACTAGTCTGTCAGTATCCTGCATTCAAGAAAAAAACCCATTTAGCTTCTTTAGGTAAAAACATTTTCATTTTCTAAGGAGCTAAAAATGACAATGCCATTACATCAACATTGAAAAGCATGCTCGTCATTGCAGTACTCTGCGAATGACCACCGCCCTTGCTTCTATAAGCACAAGATCCATATTTATTCCAATGAAAATCGGACTGCTGGTCTGATTTGCCGCCACATTGTCATGGTTAGTTTCACGCATACTAAAAAACACATTCGCATTTTTTTAACAATATTTGCCATCTGTTCCTCCAGTGCTCTTGAATGGCTAATAGATTTTCATTGTGTTTCTCATTAAAAGGTTAAAAAATTTTAAAGAGAACAACTTAAGCTACTTTTACTCAATTATTAATTCCGCTTACAACACAGAATAGGGTTGTTTATTTTCACAAAAATCAACTTTTATGTCAGTTCTTTAAAAAATTGTATACACTGATCTACACAGAAAAGAAAGAAAAATTTACTTCCTTGCATGACATTCATAAAATATCGAAATTAGGAGTTCCTTTCAAAATACTAATATTTCGAAAACAAAAAGTAAATTTTTGCAATTGTAAAAACTTTCTCACGGCTTATTAAAAATTTTTTCTACTGATGCATTTTTCATTGGAAAAGGTAAAAAACGTTTTAAAAGAATGTATATTTTCACCCTTTTCCATTTTTGAGATGTTTTATGAGAAAAATTTCATTAATGTCTAGAAGCAGCAGGAAAAAGAAGCCTTTAATTTAAAACGATATAATTACAAACTCACAAGGCCTTAACAAAATATTCTACAGCTACAATTGGTTTCACATTTCTTGGGTCTTCACTGCCATCACATCTCAGCTTTACTGGATTTATTTACATATTTAGCACCCTGTAATCAATTACGTGTAATTATTGTTTCATTTACAGATACAAACAGATAGAATATCCCTATATGTTTGCAATAACTTTATAGCTCAAATTCAAGTTCAATATTATCTTAGTATTACATTACAACTTATCAATATAAACAAACCATTATTACACCACAGAAAAACCATTAACTATGAAATCACAATAATGATAACTAGCTTGGGCTGGTGCCAGCATTTGGAGGGTGGCTATGCAAGTTCTAGCCTGAAGAAAAGAGGATTACATGACAAACGAATCTATTTGAAGTGCTTTCTTTTCTTGTCTACAGTCATCTAGATGTACGCAATCATACTATATAATGGAATTGTTGTCGCATGAAAACCAGGTTGAACTAAAAACGATACACAATTCAAAGCACCTGTAGGTGTCTTAAAATTCCTCGCAGACACGATTTTTCTCAAAGGTTTTGTACAATTTTCTGCTAAAGATATGGCTAGTAGCAAATGATTTTTGATAAATTCGTTTGCAATTAGCTTTTTATAATTGTCAAACTGTTAGAGTGAGGAATTAATTGACAATTCGCTAAGTGCAAAGAGAACTTGAATATTTCATGCCTTTTTCACCAATGCTCTCATAGGACATGAAACTATCAAAACATCTTTCTCTAATTCTTCCCACAATCTAAGATGACGAGCTAAGAATTGTGTCCAATTCATGTTTAAGCAGCGGATTAATAAGCTATTGATCACTTATGTCTGTTAAACTAAGTCAACAAAAATGCAATTTAGTTTTAACCGATCCATGTTGTGTGGTATGGTTCTCGGACACGTGCTAAATCTTATATTTATATTACAATCCTTTCTTTCTTACGTAAATATTGCGAAGAAAGTAAAAACTGAGTGCTTTTGTATTAACTTTGTCATAAGTGCCATTCGGGAATTTAGATGGTACAATTTATGTGTAAAAGTGTATCAAGTCACAAGTCTATTGGTCTGGCAGAAGACAAAAAAAGATCCTGAAGAAAAACCTGCAGGAAGGTTAGGCTTCTTCATTTAAGCCGCTGCTGTTACACGAAGCTTTCTTGTTATAAATTTTGAAACTTCTGTGCGGATATGTGCAGCATAGAATAGCCAGGAATAACACAATGAAATATTAGGCATTTTTCTGTTTTCGCAAAGATTCCTGGGTACGCGAATGAAACTATAGACACCCCTCACGTAGAGAGGTTGCATTGCTTTCTTCAATTTCAGGGTAGCATTGGAAATTATAACATAACTTCCCCTTGAATACTTTCCACTAAAATGTTAGTTTTAAATGTAACCCGAACTGACCGATTTTGGCAACAAAATAGGCTCAGAACACTTTTTGGAACAGCAGGAATCTGAAAAAAACTAAAAAAGGACCAATCTCATTTTCAGAATATGCAACTTCTAATATGAATTACATGTTTAAAACAATTTTCTAAACATGCAAATCAAGAAATCCTAAAAACTAGCTTCAAAAGTTTCAGCCAGATGCAAATTCTGAACAGTAATGAAAAATTAAGGACCCAGTTCTGGGAATATTTAAGATCAGTCTCGAAGTTATCATTCTGGATCTAACTATGAAGTCCATATTCATTCATGTCCTAAATTGAAAACTGGCAAAGTTGTTCAAATACTAACACAATACCAACGAAAAGAGGATCGGAATTAATTGTGCTTCCCCCGAGACATTCAATACATAACATCAGTAATTCTTATGAATATTAAAGAATGATTACTTTCAATAAATATTTAAATAGTAAAATGTGTGAATATACTAATATTGTCAAGTTTGTAATCACTTTTTTCAAGGGTAGTGCACATTGAAAAGCTTCCAATTTACTTACTTGGAAAAATTGGTCCAATGTTCTTCAAATGCCAAGAGGCACATCCATGATTCATTTCATCCTCCCAAATTCTCCTGACATTGGATTCAATGTGATTAACACCAAGCTTAATACTTCATTTCTTGGTCTCCAATATTTTTATTTCAGAAACTAAATGTTCTTGTTTTCAACTTTGTTCTGTGCTTAAAGCACTTCAGGATTGTCATGCACGGCGATGTTTTGATCGATTTTCCACAGCCCATCCATTGCTGCTCTTGCATTGTTACCACTTCAGCAGAGACATCGCATCCTTCAAACAGAATAGGGAGGGGGCTTTCTGGTGTCTTGTTATGTTGCCTTGTAAACCTGGTAAATGCATTGCAGGAGAATTTGGAAACAGTTTTCATAACGAGTCGTCGGAATTTGCACCTCCACTGTTGTCATCGATTTACCCAGTTGAACATTGGGTCCTTTCTCAGCCAGCATTGTCAAGAATATGAATTCCTCCTCTAAAAAAAAGGGAAAAAAAGTCATTAAAAAAACATTTTTAAACAAGCACTAATGGAATAATTATTAGCATTTATATTTTTCACATTAACTTTACCATTGCGAAGAAGAATTATTAGTCCCTTTAATCTGCAAGGAAACTGCAAGTTCAAAAATATTCAACTGACCAGGCTGGAAATCTCTACTTTCCCTTATACACAAAATCTATCAGAGAGATCGTTAAGCATATGATACGACGTGTCTCTGAGAAAGAGACAATCGGATGTTTCTCCTTTTCCTCCCTTAAACAGCATCTAATAAAAAGACAATAAAACATCAGTGAGAAAAAGGAGAGCATTTCTTCTTGGAAACTGTCAAATATAGGCAAAATAGAAAATAAAATAAACATAGAAAATTAAAGATATTCATTATTCTACACAATTAGAGCTACAGTGCAATTGCGATTTCCAAATTCTCCCTAAAACAGGTTAAAATTTCTATTTTCCAAGCCATAAATCTTTCCATCATTAATTGTTCATTCTAAGAATTGAAATTGACAGATACAGCTCGTAATAGAATATACACCACTAATGTTTGGAGCCTTAATTATAACCTTTTTTTGCCAAAGACTGAATATGTTGATAATTTATTGTACTTTAAAGATGTGGATTATTACTTAGAACATTAATGTTGTTGATCAATACAAGCCTCAGAATCTGACTTTGAATTTACTCTACTTATAACTTTTAAGATAATAAACCTAATCTGAAGGCTTTCTGCTTACATAATTTGCATATTTCCTCATGTTTAAAAATTGCAATGTTTTTATTCACTCAGTTTTTATTTGGTGTTTTTCTTTTTTTTCTTTTAAAAATTTTTAGCTATACGTTATGTACCTCACGATAAAAACACAATAGAGCTCTGAAACATTGTAATTCAAGAATCTGTGAAATAAACTACGTTTATGAACAGTCAATATTATTTAAATAAACTGATGGTCTATAATAATGTGGCACCCGATTAATAGAATCTATCATAGACAATCAATAACATTGTTCAAAAATATTTTTCATATTTTTTTTGTCTAATTGTTATCCAGTAATATGTGCAAAACAAAGATTAGGATCTCAGATAAAGGTACTTGAGGGATCCACAAACATAAGTGTGTGCACAAACGACCCACAGGGACCCGGACACCTCCTGAACATTTTCTTAAGGGGCCAAGGCTTACAAACAAAACGGTTGATCTCCTCTTTTTACCTGACGATTTAGGATATTTTTATAAGACCTTTAATGGAGAGGCTCCTTGAACCATTTGACAACTGTAAAAATATTTAAATTAGTATCAATATTTATTATTTGTAACAATACATATATATTGCAGTATTTTTATTCGTATTCATGTCATATGTAAATGAAAATGTTAAATGGAAAAAAGAAACCAGAAAAGTAAATTTCTCGAACCAAACTCGCTTTAGGCTGCACAAACTTACCTCCATAAAAATTAATAACACCATTAAGTAATTAGGACCAGAAAAAACCAGAAGTTTTCCTGTGTTATTATTGTAAATTATGATAAAATTTAACTTACATGAAAGTATG